AAATTGGATACTGTTAAGAAAAATTGGAACACAAAAATATTGACAAGACTAGGTATCAGCAAAATGGAGTGCCTTAGCATGGGACGTGAATCAGCTGTGAAACTAGCACAGGTGCTGGTTGTGTTAGAGATCACCAACGACTCCTGTGCAAGTTCAGGCTCAAGTAGAAGACATTGTAATCAAATCCATAGGAACCAACATTTGATCTTGATTCTCTGTCTCTTTAGTTTCAAAACCATCTCAGGAATATGTTTGCAGCCTTGGACTTCAAGAGTATAGAGGAGATGAGCTGTGGGAGGATATCATGAACATCATGGATGATGAATGCAGAAGGTCTCATTATAAAGGGAAAGGAGGAAGAAAAGAACAAGAAGAATGACAGAGGAACTCTGAATATTGCCCTGGAGCACCTAGAAGCCAAACAAAGAGAAGAAACGAAGAAATCAAGGAGCTAAACAGAACATTTCAAAGGGCATCACAGGAATACAAAGGAAAGTATCATGAAATATGCAGAGTTCGAGTCAGAAAATTAAAAGGGCTGAACTCACTCCACATTTCTTAAACTGAAGACTTAAAGAACAAATTCAAGCCTCGATTTGCAATACCTAAGAATGCTTTGGACAAAATATGAAATGACTCAGGAAGCATTAAAAGAAGATGGAAGGAGTATACAGAGTCACTCTACCAAAAGGAATTGGCTGATATGGAAGAATTTCATGTTCAAGACCCTGTGATGATGAACGAAGAAATTCACCCTGCTCAGAAGAAATTGGCAAAACAATAACACCCTACAAAGGATGTGCTCACCAAGTTGTGCCAAGAAATCTGGAGATCAACCACCTGGCCAACTGACTGGAAGAGATCTATATTTGTTCCCATTGATAAGGATGGTAGTGTAAAAGAGTGGAAATTATTGCCCAATATGAGTAATGTAAGCAAGATTCAGCTGAAAATGTTCCCTAAATGACTGGAACGGTACCTTTCCAGAGAACTGCCAGATGTGCAGGCTGAGTTTAAAGGACGCCGTGATACTAGAGATAGCTAATGTTAGATGGTCTTGGCTGAAAGCAGAGAGTACCAGAGGAATGTTTACATAGATGTTATAGACTACGCAAAGGCCTTTGACTGTGTGGCTCACAACAAACTGTGTCTAACTCTGAGAAGAATGGGAATCCCAGAATATTTGATTTTGCTTATGTGAAATCTATACTTGGACCAGGAGGGAGTCGTTGGAACAGAGCAAGGAAATACTTGCATAGTTCAAAATTGGGAAGGGTGTACACCAGGCATGTATTCTGTCTCCATGCCTTTTCAATCTCCAGAGCCCAGCCTCCTGGATGATGTGTTCTGCATAAAGGTTGAAAAGGTATGGAGACAGGACACATCGGTGGCATAAGCCCTTCCCAATTTTGGACCATGCAGTGTTTCCTTACTCTGTTCTGACTACTTCCTCTTGGTCCAAGTATAGGTAGGTTTCTCATTAGCACGATCAAGTGTTCTGGGATTCCCATTCTTCTCAGAGTCAGCCACAGTTTGTTATGGTCCACACAGTCAAATGCCTTTGAAACGCAGCTGGACGTCTGGCAGTTCTCTGGTGGTGTGCTGCTCCATGCGTTTTTGGATAATTTTCAGCTAAACTGGAGAATATTGTATAAAACCATTCTTATATAATGAGGTTGAGGATCAGATGGCGGGAGGATGGAAGTAGAGGGGTGAGTATGTCCGCTCGTGGGGAGATTAATTATGGGGTGGCAATATTTCAAATGGGAAGGAAGTTGTGAAAAACAATGTATACGAATTTTGTAAATAAACTAGTATAATAAATGAAATGTTTTAAGATATGTTATATATAAAGTCAAGTGAATGTAAATTGCCCCCCGAAAAAGACCGAGACAAAAGACCCTAGTGAACAGTCATCTATGGCTTTCTTCAGCCTCAAGCTTGAGAAAAATTAAACCCCACAGTAAATAAACCTCAAGTTAAGAGTTTAGTGTAGGAGCCGAAATGCCGGCCAATGACTTTGACAAGTGATGTTCCCCCACGAACCATTTATTGTGTGGGACCTAGAAACCGGAAGTGTGCCTCCCCACCACGTGGTACAGATTAAAGGAGGGAGAATTCGGCTTTCTCATTTCTATTTGGCCTGACGGTCTCAGAGGCGATCACATCTCCATTCTGAAGTCAGAGCACGAGTTCACCCTCTTCTTTTGCTCCTGGTCTCTCCTGGACAGTCGGACTTCCGGTGGTGCTCACACATCTCCTTCCCCGAGTAGCTGAAGCAGATGCACAAATGTGCAGCTCTCAGGTCAGTGTGTCCCCGGCCCCTGGGGGGATTTCTTCCGGGGGTAGGAAGGGGGAGTCTGAAGATCCGCTCGGCCCTCGCTTGGTCTGTCCTTCTGTCCCTCTGCAGTCCGTTTCCCCAGGGGGACACTGAAGTCCCCGCCTGTGTACCCTTTTCTCCTTTGACAAAAGGGCAAAGTGACAGGCCATCCCGCTCCCTGCACCCGCAGTGTCTGCTCGCGGGGATTTGTGGGCGTCCCCAGGCTGTATTCATGGTCATCCTCGCAAAGACCAAGGGGAGGGAGCCAGCTGGTTTAATTCCTAAATGACGTGGATGTGTCTTAATCAACGAAGCATCCATTTCCTTTATGTCTGTGTTCATGCTGATGAGGAAAGAGGCCTTTGTTTCCCTGATGGGAAAAACCCAACGTGTCTGCGTTATGACATCCACCAGCTGCTTTGTAGAAAGGGCAGTCCTTTCTCATGCCGTTTTCAGGATTTAAACCTGATGGAACATCCAGTATGAAACAGATGGACTCTTTAGCAGGGAGAGAATGAGAAATGGTATAGACATCTTTCCAGGGAATTGTACATCTTTTTTGAAATCATTTGAGTGTGCTGGTGGTTGAAAACATGGTTCTTTTGTGGATTGTGAACCATGCAAAAATTACGAGGAGGGGGCAATCGAGTATGGAAGGAACGTTGGTGTTTCAAGCATTTCAGTCCCACTTTCGCAGCATCCTGTGTCTGTATTTACCATTTAGTTCAGAAGAGCTAAACACTTTGTAAACACCTGAATTGATCCTTCTTTTTTTAGAAAAAACTGCATCCTTTTTCAGTTTCCCATTTTGCAGTTTCTACTAGATGGTTAGAGACTTTAGGGGAATCAAACTGTTGTTGTGTTGATGTTGTATACCGTTGATTTGGATCCTCCAGTGGGTTTTTCAAAGGCATTTAATCACACGGAAGGAAATGGCCCATCGTTTTCCCACAGAGTAGCTGGTGGCATTCAACCATGTACTTTGGGATTGTGAACTGCCCCGGCCCAAGGGGATCTTCAACGGTGACCCTAGGAGGGGAAGACCTAGAATGGGGGTGGGGGGAACAGGAGACAAGAGGCATGGAGACAAGTTGAGATTCCAATCAAATGTCAATTTTATGAAAGCAATCACAGCTTATAGACAGAAGCACAATGGGGGGGGGTGTGGAAAGGAGAAGTATGCAATCAGGGAGAATCATGTCATTTCTAGTAATTTGAAAGTCATTTGGTAAACAGAAACTTAGCAGGGCGCTTCCCAAACCCTATCCTCCAAGGATGGGGTAAACTGAAACCTATATTCCCAGGGCAACATGTCCAAACATGTTCTTGGAGAATTACAAAATGGTTTCAGAGATTTACAAAAATGGCTTCAGCTAAGTTAGTCTTATAGCTCCCGACAGTGAACCATGTGCCTTTGGAATTGCAACTTGTTGCCTCTAGGCTACGAGAGCTGCTTAAATAAACTGTACAGGAGAGCAAGTATGAAGATAAGAAATACCCTTTATTGTGAGGACTGAGGTCTTTGTTTTCGCCCTGAGGACAATTTACTAAAACAGCTATATTTTAAGAAACTACAAGGAGAAGTGGGCAGAGTCTCTGCTGTTCTAGTGCATGGATTGTATTTCTCTCTACATTTGTCCTGAAGGATGAGCAGGTGACTGGAGGATCCCATTTCAAGTCTTAGGGCTCTGCTCCTGATGTCCTACATGTGTCCAGTCCCTCCTGGAGCCCTGGGCTTTTCTTATCTCAGTGAGTCACCCTTTCTTCTTGCAGATTGAACATCTTTCTTCAACATTGTCTATTTCAGGTCTGAAGGAGATCTCGTCCAGTGCAGACAGAAAAGGACCAAGAGGGACAATTGTACATTTCTTTAAACTGCAAGGAAGATTTCAGCCACTGTGAAAGGAGGGTGGGCCAAACATTATTCATCTGCCTCCAGAGTATCTTGGGTTCCTCTCACACTTTGAAGGCCCTTCCTGAAAGGATTTCATTGTGTTTTACTGGACAACTTCCCTTAGAACTGCCAAAAACAGAGCCAGGAAATGGTAGGTCCTGGATAAAAAGGGTTCTCAACCTTAAATTTCTGCCATAGGATAGAAATTTTGTTGATTATTTTTTTCTCAGGTGCATCAGGGGTTGTTTATTTGATTGTTTAAAATAGACTATGTCATAAATTGTAACGGTTTTGTCATTATTTTACATGTCCTTCTCTCTTTTTCTCCCTTCCCCATTGTGCAGTGTACCCCTTGTCCCAGTATACATGTAACACTTAATGATATATGCATTTTGGACACTTCTTCCCGTCATCTGATGTAATGCCGTCTTTGTCATCCGTCCACTTCTTTTCCATTCAGTCTTCTGCAGCTTTGTATCTGTCCTATTTGATGACATGAAGCAGTGAATATAATACGTCAAGGAACAAGTCAGAAGTCTGATTCCTTGACTATCATTTGTTCGTTTTCTCAGTCATTCCGTGTCATGTTTTGTTCTTATAACCATTGTGGGACATGGTACCACTCTGATCCTGAAAATGTTGTGTATTTTAGGAGCCATTGTTGTTTGAGGACCTAGTCATCCTCTTCAGCCAGGAAGAGTGGGCTTTGCTCAGCATTGCTCAGAAGAATCTCTACATGGATGTGATGATGGAAACAGTGAAAAGTCTGGACTTCATAGGTAAAAATAGCATTTTATATCTTTTTGAGTCCTCCCAACCCACATAAAGTTTTCCTGGTATTTGAACATTGCTTTTAAATTTTCACGAAAAAATTTGAAATTCTCTGTTGAATAGCACATGGGTGAGTACTTATCTTTTCGCAGTTACACGTGCATAATTTCTTATTGACGCAACATTCTATGGTTGTGCTTTTGTTTTTGTGACATTAAATTAATTCTTTTCTGTAACTCTTGTAAGTGTATACGTCAATTTCTGAAGTCTTTTGGGTAGTGGAACTGACACTCAGTTTGGTCCAATGCGTTGGTTAATAGTTCATTTGCTTAAGATCTTTCTCAGTACTTGCATTACCATGGAAGAAGTAGGAAAAGCCTTTTTTTATTTCTGTTTGAAGAGACAGCTGTTCCTTGCAGAATTTGTCCTGTGGTTTCGTACAGAATCAACAGGAAGTAAACAGTAAGGAAAGACCATGGGGAAGTAGACCACAAAGAGAAATTTTTCACCAAAGAGGTCGAATTCTTCTCTGTTGTTGACCTTATGCTGAACTCAGGAGGGAAGGATTCAGTAAATACAAACTAAGAACTGTGTAGACCCTTAAGGATTGTCTTAATGCCTACTATTGTAAACATTGAAGGATTGCCTTAGTGGTACAGCGTAAATTCTAGCTTGCGTCAAGCTTCCTCCTCCTCAAACGTAACATCTGGTTTATTATTAGAATTAAAGTTGATATTCGGCGTCCCACATTTCCCCTTTTTTGTATAAATCATAATTTTGTGGTCATCAAGACTAGCACGATTTCATCAGGAATCATTGTTGCTTGTTTTCTGTTCTTTTCATCCTTTATGGACAATCCAATAAATACAGACAATTAAGCTAAATAAGTTCACAACATACTTCCAAAATTCTCTGTGCAGTCAGAAAAATTCAGGTTGGATATTCCTTGAGTCTGTTTTTATGGTCATATACCTTGCATTGCATTCCTTAAGGGTTGGTTTCTATTGGTATAGCACCACAGTCCTTCTCAAAACTAGTTTTGACCAATCGCTGACTTCCTACAGTACTATGTGATGTTTTGTGGGCACTTTCTGTTCCTGTGTGTGGTGTGTCCTGTGTGTACTCTGTCCTATTGTGTGTGTTTTGTGTGATAGGTGAGTAGTCTGTGACTTTGTGTGAGTACTCTGAGATGTTGTGAGACTGCTCTCTGAAGTTGTGTGAGTACTCTCTGATGGTGTGTGTGTTCTCTGTGCTTTTCTGTGTACTGTGTGGTGTGTGTGCACTCTATGATGTGACATGTGTCCTGTGTGCATCATTTTCCATTTACTGACCTCGAGGAATGCAAATGATGTCATGGTTCCTCTCATTTTTCCAGTAACTGTTTCTATTTTATAGGTTTTTATCCTTTGTTAATTAATATCCTGAATCTTAAAAGTAGACTTACATTACTGTTTCTTTTTTTTTTTTTCACAGAAGTCTGTCCTCTATGACTTGCATTGGTTTGGGTTTTATATTGTCATACTTGGATTTTGGCAGGTATTCAAAACTTAAGTGATCGAGAGGCTTTATTCCGTGAATATACACAGATGAAATTCTTAAGGACGAGCCCACTGTGGCCTTCCATGTTACAACAGATGTCAACATTGTGTGACAAAAAAGCTTTAGAAAAAAGTCAAGATGATGACTTTAGGTGAGTTTCAATCAAATGGAAAAAAAAACCCACACCTTCCAACACATTTTAGGATACAATGACTTGTGAAACAGCCATCAAAACATTTTAAGATTTATAAAAGTACATACTGGAGCGTAGTTTTGCTAGATTTTGACTTTGGAGAGTCCTGGGGGAAAACCTATGTGCTTTTATTTTTTTTTATTGTGGGCAGATGAGAGCACACTTATTTCCAGCCTAGTGTTGTCTGTTTTTTACCAGACTTTAAACAGTACAGGACGTATACAAAGCGGTTGCACAGAATCACCCATGAAAGCTCTATCAGAATTTACAATCTTCCCTCTTTGGAAGGAAATTGTCTACATGTACATCTGTTGCAGAATCACCTTGCTGAGACTACGCATTTTATCTGACTTTTATTTACCTTCTCATCACTGTGGATGCAGATGGTAGACTATCGGAAATGTACAGAAACATGAAAAACTTCTATAAATACATTTCCTTTAGATTTTCAACAAACATTTATCATTTTTGGTCAGCTTTATGATTGTTCAGAAAATTATTATTCCTATACTAGGACATTGAGAGATCAGAGCAGATGGAAAAATTCAGAGTGTACGTAGGCTGTATCGATGTCAAAAGTGTGTTAATTGTGAGTTTTTCTTTATTACATCTAAGGAGATATTCAAGGACGCATGTCACAGAGAAACCTAATGCAAGTAAGGACTGTGTGAAAGCATTTTCACCATCAAGTCAGATCACGGCGCAGGGAAGAAGTCACACGGGAGAGATAAGTTTTGAACCTAAGCAATGTGGGGAAACCTTTCCTCGGTCACATGACCTCTCTGAACATAGGAAAACTTACACAAGAGGAAAACATTCTCGGCGTAAGGAATGTGAGAAACCAGTTTCCCAATCAAGTCACCAGACATCTCATAGAAAACTTCATGGAGTAGAGACACCTCCCATGTATAAGGAATGTGGGAAAACTTGTGCCACGTCAACAGACTTCACTCCACATCTGAGAATTCACCCAGGAAAGATATCTCATGAGTGTAAGGAATGTGGGAACTCTTTTTCACAATACGCTTCCCTCACTCGACATATGCGAATTCACACAGGAGAGAGACCTATTGAATGTAAGGAATGTGGGAAAACATTTTGTCAGTCAAGTATACTCATTTCTCATAGAAGAACTCATACAGGAGAGAAACCTTATGAATGTAAGGAATGTGGGAAAAGGTTTTCCCACTCAAATACTCTCATTCGACATAGAAGAATTCGTACAGGAGAGAAACCTTACAAATGTAAGGAATGCGGGAAAACATTTTCACTCTCACATTACCTCACGGAACATCTTAGAATTCACAGAGGAGAGAAACCTTATGAATGTCAGGAATGTGGGAAAACATTTTCTCAAGCACGTAAACTCATTCGACATAGAAGAATTCATACAGGAGAGAAACATTATGAACGTAAGCAATGTGGGAAAACATTTTCTCAATCAAGTGAACTCATTTCTCATAAAAGAATTTGTACAGGAGAGAAACCTTGTGAATGTAAGGAATGTGGGAAAAGGTTTTTCTGCTCAAGTTCCCTCATTCAACATAGAAGAATTCATACAGAAGGGAAACGTTACGAATGTCAGGAATACAGGAAAACATTTTCAGTCTCACATTGCCTCACGGAACATCGTAGAATGCACACAGGAGAGAAACCCTATGAATGTAAGGAATGTGGGAAAGGGTTTTCCCGCTCAAGTTGCCTCAGTCGACATAAAAGAATTCATACAGGAGAGAAACCTTATGAATGTAAGGAATGTGGGAAAAGGTTTTCCTACTCGTATAGCCTCACTCGACATAAAAGTATTCATACAGGAGAGAAACCTTATGAATGTAAAGAATGTGGGAAAAGGTTTTCCCAGTCATATAACCTCATTCAACATAGAAGAATTCATACAGGAGAGAAATCTTATGAATGTAAGGAATGTGGGAAAACATTTTCTCAGTCAAGTGTACTCATTTCTCATAGAAGAATTCATACAGGAGAGAAACCGTATGAATGTAAGGAATGTGGGAAAACATTTTCTCGCTCAAATAACCTCATTCAACATAGAAGAATTCATACAGGAGAGAAACCTTATGAATGTAAGCAATGTGGGAAAACATTTTCTCAGTCAAGTGGACTCTTTTCTCATAGAAGAATTCATACAGGAGAGAAACCTTATGAATGTAAGGAATGTGGGAAAACATTTTCTCGCTCACAGAGCCTCATTCAACATACAATAATTCACACAAGAGAGAAACTTTATGAATGTAAGGAATGTGGACAAACATTTGCACAATCGGGTGACCTCACTAAGCATAGTAGAATTCACACAGGAGACAGACTATTTGAATGTCAAGAATGTTGGGCAACGTTTCGGTGCTCACGTCAGCTCAGTAATCATCGAAGATTCCACTCAGTGAAGACGCGTTAAGGCAGTCGCAAAATGCAAAGCGTTTGCAATAGTAATATGCAAAAAGTTTGCCTCATTATTGTACACACTTAATTGGTATCATTCGTACTACCTATCAGTGCTTGTCTGTGAAGCCAGGGTATTTTGTAAATTGTCTTTGAAATCCCAGAGTTGTAAAATGTATTCATTCGAATGCAAAATAAATATTTCCACCCAAATAAATGAAACCTTAAAACTTATACGGGGAAGTTCTTTGCTCTATCAGCTTTGGGCAATCTTGCAGAAAAGGAAGTTGGTTCTTTTACACGAAGGAAGATTTAACTGTATTGAAAGCTCCCCGAGACTCTATTTATACCCCAACTCCCTAATTTGTCCTGGAACCCTAAGGGGTTCCTCATGGGAGTGACCTCCCTCTACAGAACTACATTTAACCCTGCCAGTGGCTGCTGTGGGTGGAGAAAGGTGGCATCTATACACACAAAAAGAACAACAAAAGTGAGATCGACATTTGGGAATCAGTTGGCTTGCTGCTATGGACCAACTTTTGTATTCTGGCCAAGCTGTTGTACAAATTTTTGTTCTCTCGCGTTTCTAAAGCTGTACTTTATGGGGAAAGAGACCTGAAGCCTATTTTCTGAGATCCTTCTAGGTATCCACAAAGGAAAGTCAAACACATCCTCAAGTGAATTCCAAGTGTTGGGAGTCCAATATGACAGTGCCAAGGTCCTATAGACTTTCCAAGCCCACACTTGGTGATTGACATGGATTTGATCATCTTTTTCTTAAGTATCGGTTCTTAAATTTGAATCTGACGATCTGTTTTCTGTGATCCCAAAGTACCATTCCACATTCACTTTTCCAGCAATGTTGTTGTTGTTGTTGTTGTTGTTGTTGTTGTTGTTATTGTTGTTGTTGTTATGTGCCGTCGAGTCGCCTGCAACTCATAGCGACCCTATGTACAACAGCCCTAAACTTCGCTCTGTCCTGTGCCAATCGCGCTGTCTCTGACACTCGCATCCCAACTATCCCAGTCACTGAATCAATCCACCTCATAGAGGGCCTTCCTCTCCTGCGTTTCCCTCCACCTTCCAAAGCATGATGTACCTCTCTAAAGACCGGTCTCTCCTCACAAGATGACCAAAGTATGTTAGACGGAGCCTCAGAATCCTTGCCTCCAGGGAGCCACCTGGTTTAACCGTTTCCAAGACAAATCT